GTTGGGCCTGCACACCCGGCCATGCACACACACTATAATTCCAGTGTCTCTGCTATAACGTTGACACATGTATTACTGTCTCCCTTAATAAATCAGGTCCAAGGAGCTACTATAATAATAAGAATAAACCCATTCTTAATTTTTGCGCTTTCTAGCTGACACTCCTTAATATTCATCAGTTCTAGGGCTCAACTTGATCCCTGCAGAAAACCCTGCAACTAAGTAATTGATAAAAAATAACATCTTATTTAATCCCACTATTTACTGCCCAGTGGAAACATGTTTTAATTCAGGTGCAAACATAAAAAAATTTTTTTTAACTACCTGGTTTGCGCTTGCCTCAGTAAATCGGGGTAAGTCTTAATTCGCATCACAAAACTGAAAATTAAAACTCAGTGAACTCACCCGTTCTTTGCTACTGTGTACGTGTCTTCAAGAAATGATAAAGCAAATGATTTTCTAATAGAACTTCTTTGAAAATATCATTCAGATAGTATAAGTATAACGATGGAAAGCTGGCCTCACGTCTTGAAGCATTCTTGGTATTTGACGTCATTCAGTCGACAGTGTAGTCCTGCTTCATGCTGCTTTTATTGGGTCCGTGTTGATGGTTTCCCAGGGTAATACCATTACTTAAGACATTAAGTACCATTACTTTTAATCAAGCATTACTGCTGAAAAACAGCTGTTTTTCTGTTGTACATAGAGCTGACACGATTAGACAGTTCACTGATTTAGTCAACTGACAGAAGTGATTTTTTTTCCCCCCAAGTCAAATGACAAATATTTCCTATTTCCAGCTCCTGCAGTGTGAGGTTTTGCAGATTTGCTTTATGTGATAGTAAACTGAAGATTGTTAGGCTTTAGGGTGCTGTGATGGTCTTTTCTCTGATGATTTCTAGACTAGAAGTTTAAATGATTAATCAAGAAAATAGAGTGAAAGTATAACGTGGTTTAAAATCCCCTCAGATGAAGAGCATATGCAGCTGAATTTCAGTGGCAGTGGCAGTTCAGTTTGATTTTCTCCCCAGATTTTTACTGAGAGTTTCAAAATGACAGTGTGTTTGCTTTGACCTGCAGTGTAGAGGTCATGTGCCCTGATGCTGTGTTGGCAGCACTTGACGGGTGTGTGACCTTTGTTCCACTTCACAAATCCCATCCTCCACCCTCCCTCCCCTGTACATTTCTCCACTCTGTGACCATGTGACTAAGAGTGTGCTATTTCATCAGTAGGCAGGTCAGGACCTGCAATCTAGAGTGTGGTTGCCTTGTGCAAGGTCAGGCTTTGTGTTCGAAACCCAGGGTTGAGTGTGACGGACACGAGTCAGGCAGACGGTTGAAGCAGATGAAAGACTGAAGCCACATGAACTTCTACAACCATCTGGCAGCCGTGCAGTGACAGTCAACTTGTTGCTGCATGTCAGCCCATGTCTCCTCCTGTTCACCTTTTCACAACTCGTGTTCAGACCGTCGCTCGTCCCACCATCCTCATGAAGAACTGTTACTTTGGAGCCCGACCCTCACTCCAAACCTGTGTAAACCGATATGTAAATGGCTTACACAGGAATGTATTGAGTCATCCTTCTATTTAGATCGCTTCCCTCGGGGCATGCTGTACTATTTGTAAGACTGTTGAATTATCAATGAGGTATTGGCAGCTGGACTGAAGCAGATCCGATAAGTCAATAACATGAATATCACATGTCAACATTTTGCATTTATAGAACTGAATCGATAGTGAACCAATGTACATGCTTGTACTTGTCTACATATCAGGAAGCTGTAGACAAGTTTGAAGAACTATAAAGTTTAGACTGCGCTGCCATGGCATGTAATGTGTCTGGGTTTGTTTGTTTTTTTCCTTAAAAAGAATTGAGATGCAAACTGTCTGAACATGTTTGGTTTCAGGTCAACAAAAAATGTCCTTCCTCTGTAGTCAGCTATATTAAGCACAAAATCTGTAACAGGCAGTCATTGACATACAACAAGGCTGTAGAGAAGCCATTGAGATGTACATGACCGGCAGACAGCTTGTAGCCGAAACACGTTCGCTTGTACCTTTTGTGTGTCCGTATTTTGTTTGTCAGTTCAGATTGCTACGACCGTGCACCGAATACATTGTTCAAGATTTGGAGTTGTGCGCGCTGCTACCCTCTACCCTCTTACAAGAGTGTCATTTAAAACAAAATACAATCTGCCAGTCGTCATTTAATCTGGCGAAGTCAACGCTCCCTGGCTGGAGATGAGAACCTGCCTTTGTGTATCTGTTTGAAATCTAGAACCCACTGCTTCAAGAATTTTTAAATAGGCAATTTTGTCCTTGTTATTAATGTAAACTGCATCCCTGAGGACAATCCTTCCTGTTATTAAACTAGAAAATAACATACTTCTTGTTTTAATGTAAGTTGGTATGTTGTCTTTGAAACTACTTTGAAAACACTGTAACCTACATTTGATTTGATTAACTTTAATTTGTATGACAAAACTATAATTTATCCATTATCTACACCCATCCTGTGCAGGTTATAGTTCAAAGCTTAAGACACTCACTTTATGGTCACAAAAGACAAAGAAAAGCAGCAAATCCTTCCCGACTGTTCACCGTAAGCCCTTCCCTCCTTACAGTTACATTACATTTACTTATTTGGCAGAAAACTTTACCCAAAGCAACAAGTGAGTATTGAAAAGACTAAAAAAAAAAAAAAAAAAAACACCATCATTTCAAACTCTTCCAGTGCCAATAACTGCTCGTATTATGGCTCCATGTGCACCACACAAACATCTGTAGAGATCCAAAGCTTGGCAGGCCTGTGCCTAGGCCTACTATGATCTGAGTGAGCGTTAATTGATAAGCTGGTGGCAAGACAATGTTTGGCTTGATAAATGACTTTGGCAATTAATCGAAAATAGTTTGCTGACAAGTAATCGACTTATCAATTGATCTGCAATTTAGTTTCAGTTTTGTATGATATATACCGCATTACGCAGATTCATGTGGCAGCCAAGAGGAAGCCACTTCGGAGATTTGAAAGCATCCGTCTTGTCAAGATGGGATTACAATGTGTGTGTTTGAGGGCTCCATGTGTTAATCCTCCAGTGGTAAGGCTGTAATAATGAGCTTAAATCATCTGACCTGACGCTCAACACCCTAACTGATTATCAGCTCAGTGTCACACTGCTCTTGGTTTTTAGAGGAAGAGGAACATGAACATTTCAGAGGGATTCAAGTGTGACTGACCAACCTTATGTGCTTTTTTTCTGTAACTTCCCGATTGTGGTTTGGGGTGATTCTTTTTCAAAAGATACTGTCTGTAGTCTGCTCTGGAGCTGCAGGCTGTGGCCAGCTAATCTTGATGTTCTGTTATGTGTCAAATGAACCAGCTGCCCTCTCCGCTTCTTTTTTCCAGTGTCTTGTGTGTGCTGGGGTGTGGGGTGACTGGAGAGCTGGCTCTGCCATTGGCTTGTCATCCTCCCAGGCCAAGTATGGAGAGTAGAGGTGGTGGTGGTGGAGGGGAGGTTATTGGAGTACCTTTTGCCTCGAACAACTCTCAGCTGAGCATGACACCAGTGGCATGTGCCTGACTTTGGACATCTGACAAAGAGAGACAAACACATAGTAAAGCTGCAACTAACACATATTTACATTATCAATTGTTAGTTATTCTTTCCATTGATTGTTTAGTCTGTAAAATAATGTAAAAAAATATTACAACATATGCTAAAAACAAAGGTTTTTAGAGACCATTAATATGTTAAACTTCCCAGATTTGTAACCAACCGTAAAAAAGACAAAAAAAAAACAATCAATTCATAATGGTATAAAAAAGAATTTACTAAAACTACAATTCATAAATCAGAAAAATGTCTTGTATGATTAGGGGTCAGCAACTTGACGATATATACCATAAGATAATATAAATATGTCGACAATCAGAGATTTTGCCGGTTTGCAGTTAATATCATTGTTTCTATTCCTTAATATTTGTCCGTAGTTGGCAATGTCACAAATCAATGAGCAGGACTAGATAATATTGGGTTTTTGCATCAATGTGATAAAGCACCTTGATTTCTCAGATGTGCTGAATTGTCCAAAAGCTGATCTGAGTTTACTGTTTGATTCTTGTATCCATAAATACCAGATAATATCCAGAAAATTGACACTGTGCCTTTAAATGATATATTCCATGATGTGGTTTAGAATATGATTTTATCCATACCACCCAAGACTATATTCAGCATTGAAACACAGCTGGTTACACTTAGTTCACTCTCAGGCTCGCCACTTTTCACTCTGTCCTTGTTGACAACTTTAGCAGGAAATTTCCAAATCACTTGTCTCATTAGTTGAAACTGCGGGAAAATGAGGTGTAGATTGTTTCAACTTAAGTGTATTAACTGGAAAATGATAACTTATCATTATCCATCCCAGACTCCAAGGAATCTGCACGTAAACTCGGCTTTGTGTGTGTCATAGTTGAATGATCGTGCTCACACATTCTGGGATATCAGTATGAAAAAAAGGGGGATTTGTCAACATATCTATCATGTGGAATACGCAGACTTTCTTGTAATTAGTGTGTGATTCTTAGTTCGACTAGTTTGAGAAGTTCTGCTGCTCAGCAACACAAGAATTGCACACACTGAGCCCAGATAATGTATGATAAGGTGTTGGCCATTCACCCTTGAATAAACATCACTGAAAAATGCTTGAATCACTCAGATCAGTACCCAGTTCCTTCTTTATATTGAAGCTGCACACAGACACACGAATTTAAACGGATCCAGCTATCTTCTATATTTGTTGTCTTTTCTTTAGGACAAAATGCTCATCAGGACAGTAGATATGTTTAGATATCGATATCAAGTCACAGATGGATATTAGTACATCAATCTGCTTCTTGATTTGCTCTCTGAATGGCTAGCTGTGTGTCACGCGTCTGTGTTTCTGTTTTGAAAGGGGCGTGTTTCTGCTATTCATAGTTGTGAGAACCTCCGAGGTCTATTAGAGGTCAGTGTGAGTCCTTCTAATAGCAACTGCTGCAGCACAGGGCTAAACTACACCTCTCCAACTTTGGACACAGTCTCTACTTTTCCTCATATAAACACTGTGAGTAGAGAGATTTATTTAATCTTAGTTCAGCATTAATTTTTGACAGATTTTCTGAAAACTGCTTTTAAGACTGTCTTGGAGAGGACACAGAAGTGATCATTGCTGGTCTTTCATAGTGGCTAATAGTAACACCTGTAGCATTTAGTTTAGTTTTTTGTGATGTTTAATGTGGAGTTTTTGATTATTGATTTTTTTTTTTTTTGCCATAGAGGATAAATAGAACCAAACAGCCTTGCTTAATGCGACTGGATACAAAAACTAAGACGATTTACAATGACCTCATTTGAGCACAATTAATTCCATTGAAGTTGTAATTAAAGGCTAATGAAATGTAATTGGCAGCTTTTCTACTACACTTTGTCCCAGTTGGCACTAGTCCCATATGTCATGGGCTTGGTGTTTATAATAGAAGTAGGTGAGAAGTCAGTTGTTACCTCTGTGGTGGCTGTTCACTTATTGATTCACCTACAGGGCTGCTCCCCTCCAATCTAGAGGTCAAATAAGTTGAACATTCATTCACATAGAGCCACCCAGTCTGATATTAAACATGAAATTAAACATTAAATGTTGAGAGAGCGAATTATTAATTCATGTATTTCCAAATTCAGGAGTAATAATTGCCACAGACTCATGTAATTTGCATTTTACATTAACATGTAATTAAAAGTCAGACAGGTTTAATGGTTTAATTCTGGCCATCATTTGACTGTTGTATTAAAATTTCAGCAGAACAGAGACATGTATCCGGCACTTTGAAGACTGAGGTGTCAGCCCAGTGAGCTTCAGTTCCTTCAACAAATGAGTAGTGTATGTGTGTTGAGTGTGCACTGTCTGTGGACGTGTCCTTATCTTTTCCTTGGAGGCTTGTGATTTGAAAATATGCATGGAGTCATATTTCCTTCCTACGTCTTTGTTTTCCAAGTGCACAGCTGTTGAATGGGATAGCACATCTTCCTTTTGTATACAGCCTCTGTGGAAGTGCTGAAGAGAAACAATGGCAAACACGTGCTTGTTTTTCAACAGCATATTCCTCAGCTGAATTGTTAAATTTATGTTTTTCTGCATTTTTAACACAAAGACAGCTCAAACAAAGATTCTTCAAAATCTTTTAAAAATTGAGGACATTTTTTTTCTCATTCAAGGAGCTACATTTCTTGCTGTTCATTTAAACAAAACACTACAAGAATTGAATTTTATGCTCTATACTAGTCACTATAATGACCGTCTTTATATATATCATTTATCTAATGACTTGAAGTTAGTAGACCATATACACAAACAGATAAAAGAAGAATAGCTGAACATGGAATCAGGATGAGATACCCAGAAAAATAAGAAAAACAAAACATAAAAATCAGGCTTTAAATTAAATTCTTAAGAGGTGATTTATGACCTCTTTATATTGAAGGATATAGTGTTAAGATCTTTAAAACTAAGATCAGGAGGGCCAAATGAAACTATGTCAGATTTGATGTTATGAAGATATAAAAGGATTTGATATATGCGATATATCTTGTAGGCAGATCTGGCCAAATAATCCAAAACAGTAGATACGAAGTGATGGATCATCACTGAATCACAGGGCTGAACAGTGCTGCTATATCACCCTGCCCTGAATGATTCACTGTGGGTCTCCGGAAAGATGCATTTTATACTGTTTGATTCTGTGTCGTTATGTTCGTGTTTGCTTTGTGTCAGTTGTTCCATCACAGGAAGAAATTAAAAATAAAACAACAAAACAATGTGACTGCTGATGATGCTGATTGAAGATTTGTTGGATTGTAGCAGTTTAGAAAAGTTCAGATTGGGTTTTCCTGATGCCTTGAGATGTCGTGAAATGTCTTCTTTTGTCCAACAGCAGACCAAAACCTAAAAATATTCATTTTATTGTAATTTTCAGGTTAGGAAAAATTGCTCATTTTCACATTTGTGAACCTTAAACAAGAGAAGGTTTAGTTTTCTTTCCTATATAACGATTATACGATATACGATATTATTACTATTAATAATATGAATGAATTATCAAAATTATTGCATATTCATTTTCTTTTGATTGACTAACTGATAAATTGTCTAATTATTGCAGCTGTATTGCATATCATCCCCCCTGTCTCATCTCCTATCTGTACCTTCACTGTCCAACTATAGGGCATAAGGTTTATTCAGTGTTACGTGTACTTGTGTGAACATGTGGATATAGACGGCAGTAAATTGCCTGTAACTGTGAATAGGACCACTATGCTTCGTATTCAGTTTGAGCGGGATCTCGTGTTGGCATGTAATGGTCTAAAACAAGAGACCCATTGATGAAAAGATAAAATACTACATCCTGCTGTATCACCACATCCTCAAGGAAATATGTTGGAAAGAATTAACCATAAAACACCCTCTCACATGGATGACCTTTCCTTTGAAATGATTGGAGACATTTTTTCAGAATACATTGAATTGTCTGGATTACTGAAATAAAATTGCTCTTTTCTGGTAAAGACCTCCCTGATCTTAACTGGAACAGAGACAAACATGAAGAACAACAAGAAGTGCAGAATTAAGACTAAAAGTTCCCGAATTGAATGTCCCCCTCTCTGGTTTCCTGCAGGGTCAGTGCAGAACAGCCATGCAGGCTCAGGAAGTCCTGAGACAGCTGCGCATTCCCGAGCTGGATGACGTTCGGCAGTACGTGCGCGGCTTGCCCACCAACGCACTCATGGGTATGGGTGCTTTCGCTGCCATCACCACCTACTGGTTTGCCTCCCGGCCAAAAGCCCTCAAACCGCCCTGTGACCTCAGACAGCAGTCAGTGGAAATACCAGTAGGTTGAACTGTAATATCAAATGTCCATAACACAACACACTAAAACAAGATAACTCTGTGCATCCACTGTCTTTTAATGCTGTGTGTTAGAGGAATAACTGAAGCATGGCCCAGAGGCAAAAAAAAAGAAGCTAGACAGCAGATCTCATTCAGCAGGAATGTCAATGGGATCTTCTCCAGGAACTTAATCACAGCTGATGTTGGTGCAGTTCTTCAGAAGACATGCTTTGACCTCCTCACTCCTTGTCACATTTAAGGAGCTAAAAGGTTTATCTCAGAGTTAAAGCAGGCTGTGCTGGTAAAACAGGATTCATTGATTGTTTTTTTTATTATGCTACCACTTTCTAATGAGATCCCCTTTACCCTTTAGGGTTTGTAAGTTGTAATTAGAATAATTTAATGTATTGTTAACAAATTACTTAACAAAGCTTCATTGAAGCCATTAATAAAAAAAACAAATAGAAAGGCGAGGACGAGTTCAAGGGATTTTTCACAACCTGGCAACCCAGGAGTCATTCTTATGAGTGGTCATTAAGTGATCTATGAACCACTAATAAAAACCATATTAAGAGAGCAACTTATAATTTCCTTTTCTAAGCTGCAACTAACCATTATTTTCATTATGTCCTTTTTCTTAATATGAAATATCAAAAACAGTGGGAAAAATGAATGGCAAAGACAGAAATTGCAACAGTATTACATAAAAACAAATATGAACTAAAGTTTACAATAGAGGAAGGAGTCTTATAAACAAAATGACTAACATAGGCCTCTGTGTAAATAGTAAATGTGTCCTGCACCAACTATTGCTTCCAATTTCTCACTATTGTCTAGGCACAAACCACACACAAACTGTTGCACCATGTACTGAACAGGATCCACATTTGTGTGGTCAACATATGAGGGAATCTGATTCACCAGAGTGCAGCTGTGCCACAGAATAAACCTGCATTCTCCGTAATAACTCTTGTCATAATGTTGCTAGAGGTGTGGTCGGTTCAGTCCATACTGGTCATAACTTTTCGATTTTTGTCCTCGTAGGGTGGAGAACGTGCACGAAGATCAGTGCTCAACGATAATGACATAAACATGACGCACTACTACAACGATGCACTCACAATGTACGAGGTGTTCCAGCGAGGGCTCAGAGTATCGAGTGAGTGCTGATCTTGTGTCAGTTAAATGTGAGACTCCCTGAAGATCTAAGTCCAACATTAAATATGAGCTTCATTTACTCCCCCAGATAATGGACCTTGTCTAGGATCAAGAAAACCAAACCAGCCGTACGAGTGGCAGTCTTACAGAGAGGTGAGATGCGGACCACATACATGTGGATCTAGCATCGTACTCTTGCACAATGCACAAATACACTACATTATTTTTGCTTTGCGTAGGTGGCAGACAGAGCAGAGCAGGTCGGGTCTGCCCTCCTTCACCGAGGACACTCTCATACAGGAGACAAGTTCATTGGTATTTTTTCCCAGAACAGGCCAGAGGTAAAACAAATTCTACTTCTTCTTTTTTTTTAACCCTTTCAGCATTCTTTAGGAAAAGTAAAGATTATTTTGTAAATGTATGTTAATAAATCTGTAGTTTACACTGAGGGCACTTGAAATGATGAAATAATGTGTCAATGTCTGTTCCACTCAGAATCTTTTATTTTCCCTATCAAGCTTACTGTAGCCACATTATTATATTTGATGATAGTATGATTGAAATAAAATGTATCACTTAAAAAGTTATTGCTGGAGCATTTGTATTTCTTCTCAGTAATCTGTTTTTTGTCTCTCAGTGGACCATTTCAGAGCTGGCCTGTTACACATACTCCTTGGTGGCAGTCCCCCTGTATGACACACTCGGCACAGAGGCAATCGCCTACATTATCGAGAAAGGTACACAAGCGGGCACCTTCACACATTAACCACGCACCACCTGCAGTGCTATCACGGTGCTTTAGATCAAGAACACTGATACAAAGTAAGCGGTTAATTAGGTTGCCGTCTGTTTTTCAGCTGCCATCTCAACCGTGATCTGCGATGTGCCCGAAAAGGCTCGGATGATTCTGGACTGCGTCAGCGGGAAAGGCCGAACTGTGAAGACGATTGTGCTCATGGAGGCATTTGACAGTGACCTGGTCACCCGTGGACAGGAGTGTGGCATTGAAATCCTGAGTTTGAAGGACTTTGAGGTGAGAACCCTAACCTAACATCTTCTTTCTATGTTAGATCCTCAACTGTATTGTCTTCTCTGTGCTGTATTGAGCATATCTGCAACCATCAACAGGTGTTTTGTAAAACTAGCTGAGCATCTCGTCACACTGTCACTCACTCAAGTTCTGGTTAGAACTAAATGGAAATTAGGCCCTGGGGTCCTGTGTGTTTAAAGCATGATTTTTATCAGCACTTCCTGCAGCTGCGCTAAAACACACTGTATGTTTTGTGTATTTTCCAGGCCTTGGGTAAAGCAAACCACCAGACACCAGTGGTGAGTAGGAACAGCTTCATTTGTTGATTACACCGAAAAAGGCTCTTTATTCTTAGTAAATTGAGAATCCGCTTTTCAGCTCCGAGCATTCACAGTATTTGTATCCACCAACTGAATTAGATGTTGCAATTTAGGCTCGATGTGCATTAGTGTAGATCTGTGCTCTGATTGCAGCCCCCAAAACCAGAGGACCTCGCACTCATCTGCTTTACGTCCGGAACCACAGGTAATCACACAACTTGTTGCAACGTTAACCTTTTTAGAAACGTTTTTTTTCATGTATCATGTATAATCCTGAGCTTTAATTGCTTTTCAGGAAATCCAAAAGGTGCAATGCTTACTCACGGAAATGTAATCTCCAACACTGCAGCTTTCATTAAAGTAACACAGGTAAACAAACAAACACCAGTTCAACTTTAGAGTTTCAGTGCTGTCCTTCAAGATTCAGTAAATTACATTTTCTAATAATGTGCATCTGATTCCAGCCATCTTTTTTTCAAGGTGAATGCTTCTGTTCTCTTTTCCTTCAGAAATATTCCTTTACATCTTTATTCATTTATGCAAGGGCGTAATTTCCATTGGCAGCACCCATCCCCTCACTTTTCAAGTTGTCTCCTGTCTGACAGTTTCATTCACTCAACGAAACCTCTCTACACAGTGTTCCTGTAATTCAAATGAGAGAAGAGTTACCTTCAGTTATTACTGCTACGCTCACAGTAATAAGCTTTACAAGCATCAGAGAGTGATTTACAGACTTTATTTTGCCCCAGTCTCAGGCAACATAGAAGTGCCCCTTATCTTAGTCGAGGCTGTCGGGGCCATATGCAGCCTGCAGACAAGACTCAGGGCTGCAAAAAAGTACTTCACTTCTGCATATTTTCAGGGTAAAAAAAAAAATCAATGCACAGTGTGTGTTAAAGTAAAGATGCAGAAAAATTATTAGTATTATCGATCATAAATGATCAGAAACTAAATGTGGTTTTTAAGTAGCATTAGTGTATTAATAATGCAAATATTTACACATAAGCACATTTCGATGTTTTTATTATACTACCATTATTATAGGAAGCAAAAAACACACCCTCACATCCATGAGATCTGGACCAAATATAATATGAGCATTGTTTTTTGTTTTTTTTTTTGTTTTTTTTATGGGCTTGTTTAAACTCTAAACTCCTGTTGACTCTCTCTGACTCTTTTATATCCTGTCCTCATCTTCATCCCCCTGTGTATGGTGTCGTCCAGGGCTCACTGAAGCCCAGTACTAAAGATGTGCTCATCTCCTTCCTCCCTTTGGCCCATATGTTTGAGAGGGTGGTGGAGGTACAGTACGCCATGCTTGACCTGCATACGTGCATGTGTTTTGCTTTGTGTGTCCTCCGCAGGTAAACTGCATGCTCGACCTCCGTGACATTCATGTATCCTATCTCCCCCTAGCTCACATGTTTGAGAGGGTTGTACAGGTATGTTGTGGACTTGTTTACCTTCAGATTTGTTGCATAATGAAATCAAAGTGTCATAAAATTATAGTGGAAACAATAAGCAGCAGGCAGAAAATGTGTTTTCAGAGCATTTTGAAAGCATCTATGTAAATCTGAGTTTGTGTCACAGGTTTGGGAATATTGATAGCACCAGTGCTCTGCCATTTGCATGTTAATTTAAATTTTTAGGTTTAGTGGCATGTTGCTGTGGGTTCCTTCTAACGTTTAACATCTGCAGCTTTTATTGTATCTCAATACATTTTGAGTAACAACTGAAATTTGAGTATCAAAAATCCTCAAGTACCAACAGACTTGTCTTTTAAACAGGAACGGTTCTTGTACGGCTGCTTTGTGTTAAAACAAATTAAACACTTGAGAATGTTACAAACTATATATAAAAAAGGTTTTGTTGAAAAAAACAAACATATTTATATTCCTCAAAGTAAGAGACATTAAATAAAATGTGACTGTGTTATCAGCATTGAAGCTCGAATATCCTGTTAGCGCCAATGTCAAAACATGTGCAGCTTTAGAAGACAGAGTGAAGCTGTCTGTGGTGTCTGATTAATTTGTTTTTCATAAATGTCCAAAGAACCTTTGACTTTCAAGGTAACATGGAGTTCCTGAATGTGAAAAAGTTTAAAGTTTAAGGTTTAAATAACACCTTAGAAGTGTTGTGTCAGTAAGTGCAATAATACTGCCCTCTTGTGGCTGAAACATCACACTGATTTAATCTGCACAAGGAGGAATAAGCAGCTCTCTCTTCATCAGGGAGTCATCCTCATCCACGGCGCTCGAATCGGCTACTTCCAAGGAGACATTCGACTTTTAATGGATGATTTGAAAACGCTGCAGCCAACAGTCTTCCCTGTGGTCCCACGTCTCCTCAACCGCATGTTTGATAAGGTCAGACAAACTATCACTTCTGTAGTTGATCTTATGTTGCACGTTGAAGTTGTTGATTCACTATTTTCTCTTCACATTTTTTCAGAAATATTCTCTGTGACTATTTAATAATTTATTTACTAATCAGTTACCTTTTTTGTCCCATTTCTCTATTCCATTGTGTAAAGATGAATTAAATCAATCATTTCTCACTTCACTACAGGTATTTGGTCAGGCCAATACACCGCTGAAGAGATGGCTGCTGGATTTTGCCTTCAGGAGGAAGGAGGCAGAGCTGAAAAATGGCGTGGTCAGAAAGGACAGCATGTGGGACAAACTCATCTTCAAAAAAGTACAGGTAAATGTGATGTGTTCTATAAAGGCAGTCTGTTTTTGTTTAAGGGATTCAAAAAACTTTCTTCTGCTTCCTTTAAAAGATCTGGGGTATTAGATATCTGGCATATTTAGCTTTAAATGAGGCTTGGTCCTTTTAGTTTGTACATAGACCGATACCTATTTTTACATTCTACATTTGTACATCTTTTTTAATAGTGTTATTTCTTTTTTAAGGTTAGATAAAGACATTCTCAATCCTACTTGATGCATAATAAATGCTGGCCAGTTTGTCAGTCTCACTGTTTAGTTTCACACTTTGCAGGCCAGTCTGGGCGGTCGTGTGAGACTCATGATTACAGGAGCAGCACCGGTGTCACCGACCATCCTGACGTTCCTGCGAGCTGCTCTGGGCTGTCAGGTGAGCCACATCAATATGCACATCTCACTTATGGTTTGTCTGGCAGTTTTTATTTCCATGCCTATACACCAATACACCAATAACTTTTTTTTTTTCGGCTACAGTTTTATGAAGGCTACGGTCAAACTGAATGTACAGCTGGTTGCTCCATGTCAATGCCTGGAGACTGGACAGCAGGTAGAACATCCACTCACTGTTTCTATCGTTCATTATGGTGTATTATAGCCTGTGTGTAGAATTTAAATTATTTTCCTTATTTCTTTCAACCATGAGACTGTTATGTAACAACTCTGTGTCATCAGGTCACGTGGGGCCTCCTCTGCCCTGCAACGCGCTCAAAGTGGTGGATGTGGCAGAAATGAATTACCTGGCAGTCAATGGAGAAGGAGAGGTGAGGAGCACTGCTTCATCATCAATCAAATACATACAGTTGCTGGGGGGAAACACTTTTATTTGTTTTGAGTTTTTACACAACAAACAGAATTTGACTTACAGGATAATTTCAGGTGTTATTTCAGTCTGTTGACATTAGAATAAACATCTCCACAGAACTTTGTTCATTCACAAAAAAAACATTAAATGCATATAAAATATAAAGGAGCTATGGTGTTTGTATTTGGGTGACATATTCCTTCATCACACTGAACATGGCCTGTACATTATTATTATTCCAAAACAACGCCATGTCTCCATTTTCTCTCTCTGAACAGCAGCTGAAGGTCAGACAGAGTTGGGACCTCAGTATCCATTAAATAAAGTGCTTCTCACATTGTCTGACTGCACCTGAAAAAACCTCTTTCCCACAGCTTGGGGGGGGGGGGGCTGCTTTTGACAATTTTTGTCATTTTACAAAACGTACTCCATACTTTTTGTATGAGAGCTTTAAACTTCTCTCATAAACTCTTAAGACTGCTCAAAAGTGCTGAGTTATCTCCATTTTAAATCACCATAAGTGATAGAAATGGGACAGGAGCATAAAACTAGGCTGCAGTAAATCCCTTGTAACAAAGCAGTGCGGGTAGGGAAAACAAGGCAGGTTAAAAATAAAACTGGAGGGGTTCATCTCCAGATATTTAACAAATAAGAATAAAGATTATAAAATGTAAAAAAAAGTCTTTGTGCTGAAGGGTTAAAACCACTCTAAATGTGTTTTTACTTGTTATCTCTGTCGCTCTAGGTGTGTGTCAAAGGACCAAATGTATTCCAGGGATACCTGAAAGACCCTGAGAAAACAGCCGAGGCAATCGACAAGGATGGATGGCTGCACACAGGAGACATTGGGAAATGGCTTCCCGTAAGCAAAACAGGCTGAATGCCAATATTTACCCTTAAAATCAGATTATCATTATGGTTAAGTTGAGTAGCAAAGCATCAGGTGTTGCTTTCATTTGAAGTTGCATTTTTCCTCTGGTGTGTGGCAGAATGGCAGTCTGAAGATCATTGACAGAAAGAAGCACATTTTCAAGCTGGCACAGGGGGAATACATCGCCCCCGAGAAGATAGAAACCATCTATAATCGCAGTGATCCGGTGGCCCAGATATTTGTACATGGTGATAGCTTACAGGTCAGTAACTCATCGATCTTACTCATATTTGTGTTGAAGAAACTAAACAACAGATTTTTTTCATAGCTGCATTAATACTTGTTTGATAGTTTGCAGTATTTGGTCTTCATGTTATCTGTGTTGTAATTTTAAGGCATGTCTGGTGGCGATAGTGGTGACTGATCCAGACTTTTTACCTATTTGGGCCAAGAAAAAAGGGATCGAAGGATCCTACTCTGAACTGTCCAGTAGCAAGGTCAGATATATTAACATCAGCAGTCCAAACATACAGCTCCCTCTCTGTGCATGTCTTACATTGTTCCAACTGTCTACAGGAGGTGAAGAACGCTATTCTGGAGGACATCCTGAGGCTGGGCAAAGAAGCAGGACTCAAGTCTTTTGAACAGGTGACTGCTGCCATGTTTGACTTCATCAAAAATCATGCTCTGCTTTTTTTAGTTTGCTGCATTTAAAATTATGAAAAGAAAATTATGGAAGGCATTTCCTTAGTTTTGGACACCAAAGGAATAATCATTAGTTTCAGCTATTTGAATAATTATTTTTGCTTCTTGGCTTTCATTCTTGTTGTGGTCTTTTTCCCCTCTGCAGGTGAGAGACATTGCGTTACACACCGAGATGTTTTCTGTCCAGAACGGTCTCCTGACACCCACCCTGAAGGCCAAGAGGGCTGAGCTTCGGAGCCACTTCAGAGAGCAGATTGATGAACTTTATGCCAAAATTAAGATCTAAACTGGGCTCAAGGAGTAATGTAGGGAGGTGACAATCATTAAGAGCGCACAGCCAGAACCAAATAGTCTAGTGAAGGGGATTTACCTCAATTTTTCTGCCAGTGACTATCTTTACAAATTTGTGAGGCCTTCTTTTAAACAAACTGAATAATGAATCTCAGTTTGAAGTATGTATCGTCCCCACTTCAATTAATGATTGTACAGCTGAATTTTCCCTCCTGTCACTGGCTAATTAGTTCAGATTATTCCAGAACACGTCACTGTGTCACTAGTATAAGAGTTAGGGTTAAAAAAACACAAAGGGGAAATATGACGTGCTCATGCCTTAACTGCCAATAAGTCTGACTCCTTCATGGTCAGAAAGGTCCAACCTCTGCAAACATTTCAGTTTCAGTCAGGTTTAATTCTTGGGAGCTGGAAAGAAATCTTATAAATATGCTTTTACAACAGTGACAAATATTACCTATTTATCTACTAGACTATTTAATGTTTTGGTTATCTATTTAAGCTGATATTTAATGTAATCATTAAACCTGTAAATACTGTATCTGCTAAAAATGTGTATGCAGAGTATTGAGCCTGATACTCTCTATTGTTAACTCCCTGCATTCCCATGTTTCTCAGTGCTGCAGGCTAAAGGACTGAAAAAATCCTGTTCTGGTGCACAATGTAGTTGATAGCCTTCTGGGAATCATGTTGCTTGACAGCCATTTTGTGCTTCTTTTTGGTTGTTTTTCTTTTAACTGCATGAAAAATATTGAATGTTACAATACTCTTCGTGCAGTTCCTCCTTTCAAATTTCAGTGCCACAAGCTGCAGGATAAAAGGTGCATTACATCATTTGTATGATGTATGCAGGGGAAATATTTGGTAATATTGAAGGAGCCAGTCTTTCAAAATGAATTCCAGGTCCTTTCACATTAACTTACACTGACGGTCCATGAAACCATCAGCCTTCTGAGAAACAGCACTTCAGCTGTTTTAACACACAGCTTTGTTGTGAAGTCAGAGGTTTTTGCTAAACTGTGTCGTCATGCACATCAAATCATGTCAAGGACTCCTTGACAGTTCAAGCCATATTGTCATTGTTTTTGTTATGATATGAAAAGGGTAACAGTGCAGTTTTGTGCTGGAGTTACGTAAGTACGGTATCTATATTTGTCAACTGTACCAAATAAATACTTTCTTCCAGAGCTGTGGCGTTTAGTTTATGTCTTTTATATTGCAAAATATATTTTTGATAGATCCCCAATATGTTTAGGTAGCTAGAAACCTATGTTTCTTTTCTTGTAATTGTCAATAAAGTGCATTAATACGGATCTTGGTATTGCTTCACTTTAAGTCCCCCTATTTATCATTTATAAACATTTAATAAACGCTTTATAACACTATGATATAACTGTTTGCAGCTGTAAGGACAATCATATTTTATGTTATTACAACAGTGTTTTACTATATCGTCAGTCTGCTGTTAATACAGCAGCCTCCACTTATGGGTGTCCACAGGAGGAGCTACAGTTGTTGACAAATAGAATAATAAAAATTCATATCGACTTACAAATACGTTGCGGTCAAAACCAGTTATTACATGTTTTTATACTACATATAAATGCTCAAAAGGAGGACTTAAAGTTACCTTTTAACAGCATATTTGATGTTGTATAGCCAGTGCATGACAAAATTACCTTCTACTGGGAATCAAACTCTGACATGCAACTGAGCAGAACCTGATCAGAGATCCCCCCGCTGGTTTGTTCAAAGTCGTCAAGGCTCTCTAAATAGTCCTGGTCATCCTGTGTGTCTCCCCAGACGTCAGCAGATTCTTCCTCTGGACACACTGTGCTCTGTGGTGCCTGGTTCACTGTCTGGCTGGGTTCAATGTTGCCATCATTGTCCATTAAGTAAGCCTGGTCCTCCTCATCCTGTCAGGGAACACACAATGTGGTCATAAGCTGCTGCATATTGTGAAGAACACCATGTCTTTGAACATAAACAGAGTCAGGATGCTAGTTAAAATAAAGCAAACAAACCAGTGTCATGATGTAGCTGACACAGATCTCCTGTGGCAGTGGGCAACCTGTGACAGGAGAAATGTTCATCTGAGACAGGTTACAATTTATCATTTTACAGACATGATTTCGTGCCCTTGAGTTATTTTAAATCCATAAAATCTTTATGGTCATTACATACTTGAGGATCTAAAGTTCCTGCAGTCAGGATCGTGACATTTCTGGTACCACACTTCCTCTTTTAAATCCACAACAATCCTGCAGAGGAGGATGAGACCAAATGAGATAGGTGGAGCACATTCACACAGACTGTCTACAGGACATGAAACATACTTTACGTACATTATGTTGTTACTTTTATGAAACCTTTCCACATTTTCACACCAGCGGTATTTGGTAATGTCATAGACAAGTAGTTGTTCTGCGACAAAGTAGTTCCACCGCCTGATGCCTGTTGAGGTAAACATAGGAGACATGGCAGATATTGTGTACACTCTGATAAATGATCGTTTAAGTACACTCGCACACACACTCAAGTGGCAGGGCGGTATTTGAGAGAATTGATTTGTACATAACATTTTCATGGAAGAAAATAGGTAATGTGTTAAGGATGATCAAACACTTTCTGAGATATGAGGGTTTGCTGCTGTTTTGAGTTTTATATCACTGTGAACTGATCTTTGGGCTTTGGACGGTTGGTCAGGCTAAACAAGATGTGAAGTCATCTCTATAGGCCTTAGGACAGGACTTAGTGACAGGTATTTTTCACTGTTTTCTGATATTTTATAAGCCAAAAGATTTATCGTTTAATCAGCATATGAATCGATAATGAAAATGAACATTATTTGCGACCCCAGGTCCAAAACTAGACACATACAAATGCTTTGAAAATCAACATCCTGTAACAGCACTAACACTTACTTCCTTGTATTCCATCCTTTCTAACCACTGTCAGTACAAAGTTGTCCACTTCTTGATGAGGAGACATAAGGCAGCCAAAAAGGGAGCCTGCAATTGATGCATAGGGGAAAAAAAGTTACATTAATTAAAACTATTCATGTTTAAAAATATCAAGGTAAAATATTGGTACGCTGACTGATTATATAATACAGTATGTGCATATGCATATATAGAGAAATTCTTGTCAGTTCACTGTTACTTTGATTCGGGGCTGATCCCTGCTGACAATGAGTACTCCAAGTCTTTGATTCGTTTGTTTCTGGGACGTCCCAAGTTAGAATTCTCTGACCTGTGAAGCTGAGGATATACAAAAATAAGCTCCAATGCTGTGGTTTGCCGACGCTAATATTTATATCAGACAGAAAAATCTGCAAGAGTAACTGTTGTACCTCACATTACAGACCAAGGACGCCAAGAATACACTTTCCTCCGCAGAGATCCCCTTCTCAGGTTTAGCAAAGAACTGGTTGTCGTCTGCCACAGTGAACGCAGCGTTTTTTCCCACTTTTGATGACTTGTAAAGGCGGAAATTTCTGTTCTTGGTGTAGACACCTACATTGTAGCCATTGCAGTTAATATCCATATGTATAAACTGGCATGGTTTACAATATGTACAATGGGTCCTGAATTTATTTAACCCAATTAAGTGAAAACTGAAGCTTGTGATTTCTCTTACCAAGATCAACAAAGAGACAGTCTTGGCCATCCTTGTTTTTCACCTTGAGGAAGTTGAGGTCCGTCTCTTCCTGCTTACGCCTCTTGGTTTGTGGACTTTGAGCCACCTCGCCTGTTGCTGCTGCCTTGCCCTCAGGAACAGCAGGTGTTCTGCTGTCAGTAAATCATTGAGTAACAAGTTAAATATTGTGATGACGGCACTGAAATTAAAATATGTGTTTTCACAGTTCTTAAAAACAAACCGTGTTTCATTGTTTTCTGCCACTGAATTCATCCCAGCATCAAGGCAACTTCCATTTTTGGTTTTGCTCAGGACTGGTTTAAGAACTGCATTGATAAACCTACCTAAAAAGGGAAAAGATTTGACAGAATATATGAAGAAATTACATATGGTTAAAACAAAGTTTGGCTTTTTTTCTTTTTGTTGTTGCCTACATTCAAAACTATACATACCAACATGTATGTTGTCTTTGAAAACTGCATTTTGGAGATTGAAGATGAGATGTTGACTGAACTTCTCCTGTGTGCTGGAGTCAAGACTGAGGATGTTTTTTGCAGAGCATTCAATCCCATAAACTTCCATTAGCTTGTCACAGACATACTGTCAACAAACAAAACACAGACAGGTAAATCTTGCATCTTTAAGGTAAGAAAGTAAAAAGATAAACTTCACATCTATCATATCTATCCAGATGATTCTCCCATATATGAGAGTTTCCAGTCTCCAGAGGCAACTGTAAGAAGTGGACACTTTTACAACACATTCTTTAGCTTTTTAACTGATAAACTGAGCAGCAACTGAAACATTATCTTTATGTGCACACAAGCTGCTCAACAAAACCTTGTTTGAACAGAAAGTAGCAGGGAAATTGTGAATAAAAAATGGACCCTACCTGTATAAGAGAAGATACCATAGTTTTCCCATCAGCTCCTTTGTTCGAGGGCTTGTGGAACTCCAAGTCAAAGTAAAGCTTACAAACTGCACCCTCTGGAATCACCTCATAGCAGTGCATCAAGGACTGAGTGTAAGTCCTGAAAAAAAATGAAGAGATTAATCACCATCATTCCACATTTTAGCATTTGTTTTTACAACATGAAAAAATATGCACCTCATTTTGCAATGTAGGGCTAATATTTACCTGTAGTAATGCCACAGCTCACTGTAACTGGTAACCAGGTAGATCCTTTGGCCTAGAGTTGACTTTTCTTTTTCAAGTGCAAAAACATGAACAGCCTACAGAAAGCAAGATACAAATGTAAGCATTTTTTTCCTGATGAGACAGAAAATGACTTCCTACAAAGGATGAAAAAATCTGGAGGTACAGACTGACAAGATAGTCCAGCATCAGCAGAGTCTTGTGTTACCTCTTTGCAGCTCTGAGCAAAGCCGATAGCCAGGTTCTGACGAGGGAAGAGCTTCCAGACGGAGGAAGGCTGGCATGGCAACAGTCGTGGTTTGTAGCGTGTGGCCAGAGGATTGAGCTGGAAAGACTGAGCAAGCTGCTCAACCTTCTTCAGGCGGTCTCCCCACTTACTCATCCTCAAGTGCTTGTTTACCACTTGATTGCAACCGTTTTTTGCACCTACAGGGCAACCTTGTCATCATATGTCCACTTCCAAACTGAGGTCAGAGGTCAATTGTAGTACAATACTCTGGAGGTGGTCGAAAAACAAATTCAAAGACACCAGCAGAATGGATGTTTGAACCATAGTTCTCCTCTCATTCTTCCATCTGAAAAAAAGTGTATTATACATATTGGTCCTTCTATTTTTTAGTTTACCCTCACTATTATAAATGGGGTGAAGAAAATAAAAGAAATGCCTGTTAATATAACACAGTTCAACAGCAAGACAAATGCCTCCACATGCCAAAATTACTTTTAGCTACTATTTGCAAGGTTCATGAAATAAAAAATAACAATGCATTAGTATTTGAAGAAAGGCTAATTTTTAATGTCCCTTAACTGCAGGAGTTATATTTATAGTTCTTTTCACTTAAATCAACAAAATGTGTAATTTTGCTGTCTGAACGTGACTGAACCTTCGCATGCACATGTAACAATGCAACACTCACTGGGGACATTTTTTTTTCTCTCTTTCGATACTTTAAGTACATTTTCCTGATTACATACTTTTATTTGAGTGATTTTTTCAATGCATGACATTTACTTGTTATGGAGTGCTTTTAGAGTGTGGTACTTTTAGACCTTTGACTCAGATAAATAACCTTAACACACTCTGTAGACTAAATGACAGCACTGAAACCAGACTCGAATGTCAGAGTTAATTTAGCAGCATTAACATTATCTTTAACGTGGTGTCATCGGGGGTAAGTTGGGCATAACTCACCATTCGTTGAGCTGCAGCGATAATACGGTCCATTGAGTTTTGTTACTTGTGTGTTTAAATTAAGAAGTTGAAATAGAAACATAAACACGCCAGCTTCGCTCACTGCGTCTGGTTTTCTGTTTGGCGCGTACGGAACTGGAAGCAGTGCTGTTTCCGGTCACAAAACGAAGTCTTATGGTCGTATCATACGTAGATGCCGC